AAAGAAATGGTTGTTGCACACATCACAGTTATTTTTTCTAAGGGCTGAATCTGGAATACCCAAAGTGTGAAATTTTTATGGATTTTTTGTTCGTGGTTCATTCAGTAGATGGCGCAGGAGTTTTGGTTACATACATAGATACTGACATACACGCTACGTTCATTGTAGTAACATGCTCTTAGCTGGCTCTACTTGGTTATCTACAACAGACATCTCATCACTTTGCTTTCAACTATCGCTGCCTCTCTTTATCAGGGAAATAACTGGAAATACGGGGAAAGGTAGCTTATGTTTGGACCCGGAAACTAGTAAACCACGTGACCATGAGATCGCTCACTCAAGTGACTACTGTTTATCCGCCATATTGCTGGTCAAACAACACGACTACAATATATACACTGTATACCATATAAAATTGAAAATAATAATACCCAACATTATATCTATAATTTGTTACAGGTAAAAGTTTAGGAAATGGTAATGTTTAAATAAATAAGATCAACAAGTGTAACCATTCCCGGACCTTTATAACTTTCAGTTACTTTTATATCTACCTTCCAGGAAGTATAGTTCCCTAATAATGTTTAAGAGATGCCTATAAATGTTTCAGGACACAACATTTGTGCATCAGTGGGAAATGAAGTGAAATAACAATTTACTAATATGTTTAAAATGGATTAGCTTCACAATTTTCTAGATTTGGGTTTGTTTCAAAATTATTTGTATTCTTAGGCCATATACCTAACACTACAAGTTTTACTACTTTTGCTATTCATTGTTAGAATATTAATGGGTCCTGGAATGATTGAATATACTGGAAGACTTCCACTAATTTTAGGTACAAATAAATAAAAACGTATATATTATATGCAGTTCATTTAGTAGTATTGTATGTACGGTAAGCGTATACATATGTAGTGTAAAAGTGACATATAAAGTGACGGAAACTTTATGTCAACTATTTTCTCAGTTTTGCAGTACCTTAAAACAGGATTCATCCTATAACCGCTGCGAATGGTTTCATAACAGATCGTTTAATTAAATGGAAGCTTAACTTACTGCATCATAATCGGATATAACTTCGTTCAGGAAACGAAGACATTCCAGCCCCTGCTTGTTTACCGTTTCTTCCGTGTAGAAGTCTGAGAAGTTCGGCATAGCAGCAAATAGCACTCCAACTGAGTTGTAACTCTTGCTATATAACTCCTGTAAAGTAAAACTCGCTCTTAAAAATTCAAGTGTTACGTTTAGATTCCACAAATATTGCTCTCTAAGTTAGGTTTAACCATGCTTTCGAAATATATCTTGAAGCGAAGCAATACACAATTGAATTAATTCATCAGCTGTACATTCACTCATTGATGTTTCGACTATTAAACTTAATATCTGTCGCGAAGGCAGAACCTTTAGATAAAAATCTGAATATCGACTCAATAATTAAAAAAAACAAATAAGTATATTAAATAAACTTTTGCCATATTTAAGGCACCAGTTTCCGACAATGAACTTTGCAAAGAACGACAATGTTAGTAATGGAAAACATGAATTGATTATAGGTTTAGAGCTTAAGATCGTGAACTGTTATAAAACACGTGAATTTATCATATCAATCTGTTTATCTATCAGCTAATTAAAAATATCAAAACAAACATTCTAGTTAATTAAAATGAAAAATTAGAATACAAATAATATAAATTATACAAGTAATTATTAACACAAAGCAGATGCTTATTATTATTGGAATAATAATTATCAATAAGATTAGATCTGATATAAACTTAATTTCAATATACGATATGGAAGCAGTAATGAGAAAAGTTGTATATGTAACAAGCTCGTAGTAATGGTAATAAAACTCAAACTTTAATGATCATATTTTAGGGAAAGTTGTGTTTAGGAATCGGTGAAGTTGAAGTTATTAGATTATTTCAGATTCCTAGAGTAATCATTTTGCCAAAATTTATTTAAGGAAAATATAACATTTTTTGTGATATTGATATACCATAATGCATTTTCTGATGGTGTTTATAACAAATACACAAAAAACCTTTTCAGTTAGTATTTGTTTCGACTTGAGATTAAAGCCTATGACGACACATAGTTCTTAAAGAGATTATTTGTAAACTAAATGTATCAAATCTAAAAACAAAATTCTTATACGTTGTTGCCCCTAGTGGCACAGCGGTATGTCTGCGGACTTACAACGCTAGAATCCGGGTTTCGATACCCGTGGTGAGCAGAGCACAGATAGCCCATTGTGTAGCTTTGTGCTTAATTACAAACAAAACTTATACGTTGTTTATCATTGAATCAAAGGAACTACAGTTTAGGAAAATAAATAGTTCTGCTGTAATCATCAGTCTTTTACATGTTAGGATCAATGAGTTTTTCTACTATTATATTTTACTTTAGTCGGGTAAATTGTATAGGCTAACAGGAAATAAAACCATTAATTATTTCAAGAGTTAATGAAAGATTTCAGTAAGATCTGTTTTACAGGTTGGTGTATTTATTTCTTATTTAATGAAAACTAAGAAAGCTTTTGTTTAAAATTTTTTCTTTGAATATTTTAGTTTTAATGAATATTTTGAAAAGTAGAATCTGGCATTGTCAAGATGTTTATTCTTTATCTAAGGCCCGGCATGGCCAGGTGGTTAGGGCACTCGACTCGCAATCT